TACAGATTTCACTGTGTAACTAAAAAAAAAATGTGAAATGACAGGCCCCAATTTAGGATTTAGTCTGTTGCATTATTTAAAATTCCCCATTAATTTTGGAAGCTTCTAAATGTCTCAGTGCTGTGTGAAAAAAACCCAGAATCAAGAGAACCTGAGCTAGACTTGCCAAGTTTCAAAGAATGTTTGACTTCCTTTGCCTCTTTCACAATATTTTTAAAAATTTACTTGCATCTCTTCTAATTAGCAATATCTCAGCCTAAGAAAGTAATGTTTGTGGGGTTTTTTTCTCTTAATACTTCTTTTCAAATCCTGTATAATTTTTTTCTTGGTTTTAGGACAGGAGCAGGGGCTCCAGCCACACTTCAGTTCATTGCTGGCTAAGTGAACCTTCATGCCCAAATGAGTTTTGAGTCAAACCATCATCACTCACCCCAGAACTTCAGGAAAACCCTGCTCATCCTGCTAATGTAGAAGGGAGGGATTTGAATGGTATTTGGAGTACTGAATGTGCAGAGGAGGAAATCCACCATCACTTTGGGCAGTTCTAGCTGCAGAGACAAAAGGGATCAGTGTGGAAAGAGCAATTTCCTCAGAGGGCAGGTGCACTAACAGGGGACTGAGACAGGAGAACTGGAGCTTAAACTTAAAGACAATTCCTCATTCCTAAACAGAGTGAAAAATAGAATCAATAAATAAGACATTGATTTGTCCACCAATGTTTGATGGACTTCACATGGGTGGAATATAGTTTATCTCTTCTTAAGTATTCCAGTGATCACAGAATTTTCTGATTTTATTAAGTAATATTATGTTCATATTAATAGTGGAGAATAGGTGGGGTTTCCTTTATCATGTTAGATATTCTTTTGATAGAAAAGTAATTTTCTAATAAAACTATAGTCAATGTCTGACCATTTGCTGGATTTCAAAACCCTTGCAAGGCAGTTAAGGGCTGAATAACTAATAACTGCATGGTACAGTATTTTTTGTAGCTTATGTTTTCATTTCTATTTTCTGCCTTTAGAGTTTGAGTTTGTAAAGTGTATAGAGAGCCTTCAGTCTGATGGGGACTGAAAGTTTATCACTGATGTATGAATCTCATTCACAGCAGCATTTAATGATTGCCAATTTTTTGTTAAATCTGGACAAAATGCAGCTTACTCAACTTGAGCATTTTCAAACCCACGTACAACAGAAAATAATTCTGGAGTTTTATTTTGCAGGCAATCAGATTTAACACAGTACTGGGCTAAGGTACAGAAGATCTGCACAAGAGGAATGCAGCAAATGTCTTTAGGCTGGGAATCCACTACTTCAGTAATTCCCACCCCTTTCCATAACCATAATGCAGCTACATGAAGACATTTCAGGCAGTTTCTTACCTCTGTAGCTTCAGTATCCAGAGCAAGTACCCAAGCTGAGCTCTGGCCATGGATTTATTCCAAAGCTCTGAAATGCAAATAAGACCAAAAAAAAAAAAAAAATTAAACTGACAAGGATTCCCTATAATGTGTTTATTAATATAATTAGAGCATAAGCATTCCTTCTTGCTTATTTCTTCTGGATAATCATGGTTATTGGTATTAGCTAAAACAAAGCAATGACATTTGCCAAGAACCTGTACATCAAGAATCTAAAAGAGGCATTTTCCCACTCAGATTTAACAAACAAAAATTCTTCACAGATTATAAAAGGAAAACAAAGCACATCTTAAACTTTCATGCTTTTTGCACATGACTGTGCTGGTGCAAAGCACAAGAACATCAATGCTGCTAGAGCTTGTGAAATTTTTCATGCAGTGTATCTTCTTAGAAACTGAAAATGACATACATAATGGGAAAATAATTATTTATTTCTTAATTAATAAGAAAGAAGGCCAACAACAACCGAGGCTGCATTTCGTTTGAGTAAAAGAATAAATTAATTTTTTTTTTAATGAAATCTACTTTACACAGGTGTACATTGAATCAGATTTAGGTTGCTCTTTGGGAATGTGAAACAACTGTGAAGTTGCTTCATTAAGTAAATGAAATGAAGAGTATCTGGGCAGTCAAAGGAACAAATCCCAAACATTTTAGCTCCCCTTTTTCCCATGTGTCTGCATTTAGTTGCTTTAAACTGCGATCTCTTTATGACTGTAGCATGATTCCTTATTCCTCCCAGAGAACTCCTTGTAATGTCATTCCTATTTGAATATTTTAGCAATGCAGCACCCCCACAATAATTACAGAAGGACTTATTAGTTAAAACAGGGCCCTGTATAGGAGAAAAGCAACATTTTCATTTAGATTGCTAATAATAATTGCACTCTAGTATTCTACAGCTGCAAAAAAGATGAACAAATTTTGGGGTGGTTAGTTCAGCCCTTCCTTTCTGTGAACTGGATTTAAATCTTAAGCCAAACAAAACTGTGAATTGTGAGGTGGTTTTGATTTTGCTCTGCAGTCAGCAGCTGGCTCTGAAATGTAATCATAAATTGCTCAAGTCTATCAGAGGTATTTTAAGACAACCTCTTAAATTAATCTGGGCCATTTCAAATTCATAATGAAATCTTAACCCAAACAAGTTTCATAGGCAGTAGATACTGATCGAAACACCACTGATTAAAAAAATAAATAAAATAAAAATAGGCACTTCAGTCTCAAAAATGAAGTTACCTGCAAAGCTTGAGGTAGGCAGCAGTGGTAAATCAGGAAGCTATTAGCTAGGTAGGTTTAAAAAGCTGCATTTGGCATCTGCTATCATTTGTCATTTCAATACACAAAGGGAAACTTTGAAGATATAACTGCGGATTAAGGGCCAGCCTAAGTGCAATTTGTTCCTTGAACAAACAAAATGTTAAGTTCATACCCACACTCTGAGTATCTTTGTTACATAAGCTTACATAAAAACTGACGTGACTTTTCCTAAAGCACTGAGAAATCAGAGACTGTTTCCCACTTGTGAATGGGTTTTCTTGAGTGACAATAAAGTAGCCCTCCAGTAACAGCAATTTAATTACATTCCTAAGCATGCTTGCAGGTATGTTTAATGAGACACAAACTGTGAGACAGACACTGCAGAGGGTGCTAATTCAAAGTCTAGATCACAAAAATCTATATTACAAAGATCTTTTAGAGAATCACATCTGTAAAGCCAGTGAATTAATGTGCTGGCTGGGACTTGCTTCTGACAGGTCCAGCTCATTGCATTCAGACACTGATGGCACAACTGAGTCTATTGGGAGCCTGAAAGTCTCTGAGAACCTTCAGAGTGACATTTGGGATAACAGGGGTGAATTTCAGCCATGCCCATTTGCTGCACTGTATTTTCGGCTCCATGCACATGCCAAGATAAAATTCCCAGACTTTCTCCGTGCCCGAGCAAATATTGTTCGACCCAGATTTGGAACATTCACCAAACACAGACACAGCATGTCACTGTGCATGGCTGCTGTCACACAGACAGGGCTGGGGACCAAGGGGGTGCTCCTGCAGCTTGGAACATCCCATGGCATGGCAGGGCAGTGTGCATCTCACTACTGACATGTCAGGAAAGAGTCTCCAAGGATACCATTATCCTGGGGGGTTGATCTCCAGTCAATCCTCCAACTAGCTGGGTGAAGAGTGTTCCTCTAGGCAGCAATGTAGTGACCAGCTCAGGCCCTTTTGATGACTTGTGAAGGCTGCCCTAGAGCAGAGGCTGGACAGAGTTACAGAATAAAGCAGGGATTTATTAAAAGGATCTCCTCCCTGGATCCACCTTGGCAGCAAAAGAGCCCAGCCAGGGCTGCACCCAAGATGAACCAAAATGGTCCCAAAATGCACGAACGCTCCTGGGGGCTCTCACTGGGATCAGTTCTGCTCCATTGGCACCTTGGAGTTCATTGTCCCATTCCAGCTCCAGCCCAGGCAGTCCCATCCTGCTTGTTTTTCTCTCTCCAGCCCATGTTGTTTGTGCTCCTGGGGCTGAGATTTGGATCATTTGTCCTTGGTCCCCAGACGGACAAAGAATTGTTTTGTCTCCCTGCTCTGTGAAGAGAGCTCACCATCCCTCATATGAAGCTCAGAACCACACACTAAAGCAACATAGAATCCGAAAAATATAAAAGCTAAAATTTAAGGCACCATTTTAAAAGCTTGCAGCCCTGAGCTTGGTTAACAAAAGCTAGGCTACAATTTGCATGTCAAATCACTGCTCCCCTCTCCTTCCCTCCCCACCTGAGGCTGATGTGGCCCATGGTATTTTAGCTGGTAGATGGCATCAGGTACAGCTGCTCCAGGTGATGGAGCAGAGCTTGCAGGAGTTATGGCAGGCTGCTCTTGCAGTACAGTTTCTGAAATCAAGGCTGAAAGTTATGCTTGTCTCAAGAGGGGCTCTAGGGGCAGGAATAACCCCCTCAGTATTCATTTTTTAGGAGATTCATCCAAGAAGATGCACAAATGTCCAAGATGTCATCTAAATCTCATTGCTCTTCACAAGACAGATAATGCTGCCTTCCTTTACGAAGAGCACTTTTTTGTCATCTTAAACATCAAAAAAACATAAATTTCATTCAGTTTGCTTTTTGGCCAGGCTTTCTTTGTTTGCATACAATTTATGCTTTACTCTTTTTTCAGAACACAAACTTTAGAAATATAAATGTAATAGAAGATTATTGTTGTAGGAAAAATATGGGGTCAAAGATTTTTAATTAAAAGAGAATGACTTCTAGCTTAGGGAATGCTTTCTGGTGCTCTAACAGGACCTCTGTTGCTGATGTCAGGATTAGGAGAAAAAATGTAAGACTTCTCAAGTGTCTTCCCCCCCCCCCCCCCCCCCCCCCCCCCCCCCGCTTTATTTCTTCGGGACAGGCTTTGTTCATCTTGTTAAAATTATTTCTCTGGTTTAGTGTTTTAAAGACAAAGTGGGATTTACAGTGCTTCATCAACTTTAGTTGAAGACCTAGGAAGTGAAAAAAGTGTGTGGGGGGAAATAAACAAGCTTTCCCCAAAGAAAAAAAATAGTCACCTGATGGCATATACTGATGAGAACAGAGATTCCCAGCCAATGCTTAGATATCATCACATCTGAGACTAAAATGGAGCTATTCCTAGAGACCTGTAACAGCTTTGATGATGTCTGGGGTCTTTATTTTCCTAAAAATAAAAAAAAAAATTAAAAGGAAACTCTGTGAAAATAAAACTGAACATGTAGAGATCCAGGATACAAAGCAGCACTATTTTCAAAAAATACAGAAGTACCAAAGAAAAAGAAAAAAACCAACAAAACCCAAACATCTAAACCCCCTTCCTCCCCAAAACAACAACAAAAAAACCCAATAAACACAAAGCAAACCAACCAAAACAACAACCACCAACCAAACGGAAAGAACCTCAACAAACTGTGTCTTAAATGGTGGAAGAACTCATCCTCATTTAACCACCAGAATGCAATTTACTGTCAGAGTGAAATCTGCCTTTCAAGATTTAAAACAAAATGCAAAAAAACAAAACCCCAAAACCAAAATAAAATAATAAAAAACCCTTTAAAGATCCAGCTGTGAGTTCAATGCCAACATCACCAGAGTCATGTTCAGCCCACTTTAAAATAAGAAAGACTTTTTAAAAAGTTTAAAGAACAAGTTCTCTTGTAGATTGAAATACTGAATAGGATGGAGAAAGATGGTAAAATAGTCCTGTGCAGCCTCTTTTTTTTTTTTTTTTTTGAGTTGTCTGGAGCACATCCTCATTAAATATTCAGGATTTCTATCTCAGTCTGGTAACATTTTGAATTTTTGTGTACACAGGAGATAGAGAAGGAGCACTTTTCTTCCAAAGCCATTAAAATCCATTCAGGATATAAAAATAGTTCTTACATCACAGAATATCATGACATATTCTGAGTTTCCTTATTATGCCAGGCTGCAGTAGCACAAAGGGAAAATGAGATTTTGCTGCATCCTACATTTGTGGTCACAGGTACAATTACTACTTGCATACACATTTCTGCTCTTGGACTGTGACTGTAAAGGAATATTCTAAGTTAAGGTAAATCATCTGAAGATATAAAGTCAAATACTCTCTTTCAGATAAATCTTTAGATAATTGTAGCTGATCAAACCCAACTGTTTGTCCTGCACTTTCCATGAAGAAAAGGTTTCTAAGCACAATATTTGGAGCATACATGCCAAACAGACTTTTTAATCAGTCTAGTTATGAATCTTAATTTATTAATAAAACTAAAGTAATTTTCATCCAGTTTCTAATTTTTTTCCCCTCAAATTAAGAGTTATGATTCTGAAAGTGTTTGACACAGAAGTAAATAATATATGATCAGTTTACTTATAGTATCAGCTGTTATCATTCACTGATCATGAACAATTGAAATATATTCCCACTTAAGTAGAAGATCATAACTTTTATTTTTCACATTTGATAACTGACAAAAATGCACACATACAGAATTCACATTAATGTAATAATAAGAACAATTTTGCACACAACAGTTATATAAAAATAACTGTACAACACTTTGAACACTGACACTACCTATTTTTAGAATCAGTTTTGAGAATGAAAGGATGGGTAGAAGTAGTGGAAAAAGATATTGCTCCAGGGTATTTCAAATAAAACAAGCTATTCAGTTAGACTGTTGCCCTTTTGTCTGATAATATTTTATATGAAACAGATATTTTTTCACATCCAGTCCAGCATACAACAAAACTTATATAGACCATTCAATTTTGAACAGATTCCCTCAATATTTCCCTGCCTTGCAAATACAACACTTGAGTGCATGGGCAGGCTGACTGGTCTGCATGCTTGAGTGGTTAAAATAAAAATATTTACATACCTGCAGATGGATAGATAGATGTATGTATAAACACAGACATATAGACATGTGTGTATATGTATTTGTATTGAGAGATTATGGATGGAAACTCATTCCAGCCACAATCTCAGTAAGAGTAAAACCATTTCCCTCATTGGAAATAGAGCAGCAAGGACTGCAAGATTTCCACAAAACAAAGCAAAACAAACCACACTGATGGTTTGCATCATCAATATTTTTGATTTTAAACCCAGGGTTTTATAGGATGAATGAGCTAATAACTTGTAATCAGGTTTGGTTATGCCATATCTTTCACATTATGTAGGCTTCTGTTCACAACTGGTGCTATTTGACTTCACAATTAGTGTAACTTTCATCAAAGTTTCTGAGTGCATGAGTATAATAAAAGATTTAGAATTTTATTGCTACTTCAAGAAGACAAAGACACTGGGTTGTTTTTTTTGTCTAAATTAGAACAGAACTCTCATGCTAATCTATCAAACTCCATTTGAGTTTCTATGCATTTTAATTTCACTAGTTCCTTCAATGTTTTCTATAAGGGGAAATCCAAGTTCAACACTCACTATGAAATTTTAATTTCTGGGAAGTCCTCAAAGACCTTTAACTAAACTCTTTTCCTCTGCCCACCATTCATACCAGCTCCCTATATCACTAGGGGATCTTCCTGCAAACAACCAGATTTTGAAACGGTTTCCATTAACATTTAAACTTATGATCTAGAAGGGAGGGGACTCTTAATTGCAGAAATCTTGTACAATTCTGGTGTTTGCGATTATTCCCAGAGAATGAGCAAATGTTCAAATTAAAAGCAAGTAAGCGCAGAATAATTACCAGTGCTAGAAAAGTAGTAGTTATTTTTGGTATGTTTTAGAAAGATAAAATACATAAAATTGTACAATTAGAATTATAAAGTAGCTAGAAACCAATGCTAAAATCAAGATTCCATCAGTGTTCTCTGACCTACTGAATTAATGTAATGTTTCCCTCTTCTAGACAGGCAATTACAGAATAAGAAAATACTTAATTAATATGAGAATTAAGCACATCTAAAGTTGATTTTTCTGGACAGAGTCAAAACCATTAGTGTCCTTAAACTGAAACATATGCTGAAATGTTACATATTATTAGGACCTTACAACAAATATTTGGAAGCATAGGGGAAAAAGAAACACTCAACAAAAGAACTGAACAAAGGGAAAGAGGAACTAAGAATCAAATTTACATAGATAGTGAAATAATAATGATACTTCCCATTTTTAGGATATTGTATCTTAGGATATTGTATCTTCATTATTTCTTCTGTACTCTCAAAAGGGTGCAGATTTGTCAGTTAGGAGTCAAAGACTATTTGAAGCTGACACTTGCAATATAACTTGTTGAAAACCACTTAGTTAAAGGTGAGTAAAGGAGAACATAAATACTCAATGGAATAAGTAGCATAAGAAGAAACAATTTTTTGACCTGTATATAATGTAATCTTAAACCACTGGAGTCTATAAACTCCCAGCATTTTGGAAATATATCTAAATTTCAGCAAGACTCATTTTAGAGAATCAGAATGTTTTAGATTGGAAAAGTCCCTTAAGATCAAGTCCAACCACAAACCTTAAACCACCAAATCCACCATTCAACCATGCCCCTAAGCACTGTGCTTGCACATATAGAATTATATATCTTTTATATATAAAAGATACAACAAGGATCATCTCCTAAAAAGAGCTTCTCATTTCTATTTCTTCGAACTGTTATACCTCAAATTCTAGTTCACACTTACAAAATAGTGTTTATTGAGAAGGTTCAGAAGCTTTCCAAACTTCCAGAACTCGGGCATCTCTGAGGAGGATGATGACTTGGAAAAGTTTTTCTGAATTTCACTATGCTTTCTGAATTAAGCAATTGATAGTTTTAACGAAGCCAGGAAAAGTCTCATTCATCTGCCCCTGTTTATTTCATCTTGCTCCCAGTAAGCAGCACAGAATTATTAAAACATGTGTTTTCCATGGTGAACAGAGCTATCCCATAATTACTATCACAGCAACAATACAAAATATAGCAGTCAAATGCCAAATTCACTGCAGCATGTGAATCTTAGACTGCTACTTAAATTTTCAGTCCTTGTCTAAAAAATTTTAGTTTTACTTTCCCTTGGATGGTTATGACATGGATATAAGGGCTGCAACCCATTTTGAGAAATAAAGTTAACTTCTAGCCTCTTTACAATTTGCCCACCATCTCACAACTGAAAAACTCATTATTCATTATTATATTAATTTTTTTCAAGGACAGCCACTTTTAACAGATGTATAAACAGTTACTCTAATCTTATTTACTGGCAACAGAGATAAATAGCAAAAATTTTGAGTTTCACCATTGTATTTGTTGTGTTTAACCTCTTGCCAAGAAAGCACAAATACATTATTAGAGAACTGTGTATAATCTATCTAAAATGAGGTAATATATTTTAGCCATTAATATATTAGCATTATTTGTTATACTTTTCTTCATAGTAGTGGGTAACAGAGTCTTGAAATTCAGATTATTTTAGAGCAACTCAGGAAATTACATCATCTCCAAGGAAACATTAATTCCAGGTTTCTATCATTCCTCTGCTTATATGGGGGAAGGGGAGAAGGAGAGGAAGTTGTCAATGAGACAATTAACACAAAATTAGGCTTAGTTGAAATCTAGTCTTCACCAGAAAGACCATTCTTCTTGCTGATTAAACAATCAATTCTGGTGCTAAGAAAATAGCACAAATTTTGCACAACTATCAAAAGAGAATGAAGACTTAGCTAATTATTATAACTCAAGGATAAATTGCCAAGAAATTTCCAATCATTTAGGAGCAGCTCTTACTCACACTTTGGGGTTAGCATGTCCCAGCTGTAATTTACCACTGAAATGATATACAGATGTCAGTAATTCCAGGGTTAGGCACAGTCCCTTCAGGAGAACAAGAGAGAATACCATTTATTATTTCACTTCATAACTGTAGTTTGAAATGTTTAAGAAAAATACATACATATGCACTGGCAGTTAAAGCTCCTTTAAATTAGGAATAGTCCCTGTGGTTGGACTATCCCAGGAAACCTAGTAATTGCTTGCCTTACATGACTATTATCATCTTGTGGCTGATTAGTGCAACAAAATGATTACAGCAACCAAGGAAACTCAGCAGCTGGGGTGTATGAACGTGGTGTATGGCTCTTCTGCAATCTCCTAAGGCCTCCGCTGTTTGCCAAAAAAATTTGATGTATTTGATAACAGAACTTCCTTGGTAAGACAGTACAAGCACGATGGCATCCTCCAAGTGACCTGATAAAAAGGAATCAAGGATAGGGGAGGATGGGAAATGAGACTATGATATGATTTTGATTTCAAAATCTGCATGGAATGAACAATAATATACATGCCCTTCCCCCACAGGACAAAGAAAATTACATAAGTAATGAAACTATTGGATTAGGAAATGCACTAGAATACCAGAACTCTTTGGAGAATGTTTTCCAATCAACCAGATGATAGATAACCTAAGAAATGACAGCGGAAGGCAGCAACGTTATTATGTTATTAAACTCCTTTCAGCAAATATATCTAAGCTCAGAGGAGCCATTAGGCTCCTGCTCTTGTGCAGTCAAAGAATTAGGGTGAATTCTTTATTTAGCTTCATGCAGGAATACAAAGTTATTGTAGGGAAATTATACCTCAAATAGATATAAGTGTATGTATACACATGAATACCTTACTTTATGAAAACCCTTGTTGGATAACTGAGTGTACCAAAGGTGAGTTATATGATGTGAAAAATGAATGAGAAAGCAGGGAGCATGATAGGTTTTGTTTTCAAACACATTTGCTTTATGAATTAAATTCCCTGCTTGCTGAGAAGTCGCAGTCATGGTTTTTCCTGGCATCCCTTTAAAATAATCTTACAGCTCTATGTCCCTTTTACTTTTCATGTAGCTATAAAATACTTTTTCCAACCTGCGAGAGATATTCCAGCTCGCAGGTGTCCCAACACAGATCCCACCAATGCTAGCTGTGAAGGCCATAATCACACCTGGGCCACAGGTGAGCTTCCCAGAATAGGACCAAGGACCAGAATTAGTTTTCACAATGCCTGGAAGGAAAATACGTGTGAAAAGTGACTTTAGGTAGTTCTAGCTCAAGTCATTTCATCTGTTAGCAGCATGGGTTGGATACATCACTGTTGCATAAAGTAGTTTTTTTGAAATAGAAATAAATACATTTGAGCTGCCAGTGATGCAAGGAGAAAGCTGTGGGGCAAAACTGGGGAACAACTCTCCTAAAAGGAAACAGTGTCAAAGGCACAAGGAAGAAGGAGATAGAGACAGAGATGTGCATCACAGGGAGGAGAATCTGCAGAAGAGCATCAGGCAGCAGCAGGCTCTGGGCGGGGGGGGGGGATGAAACCACAGGAAAATTGAAAATTGAGACTTGCTGCTAGAAATTTCCCCTGAGAACTTTAAGAATAGGCAATTGTTATTGGGAGATGTTATTTCTCTTACAATTTCCTTCTAGAAACAGCATCCAAATCCACATGTGCAGACAAAGACATGCTTTTTCTTGGCTTTTTGTCCAGACATATTATATTTTGGGTATTTGCACCAGAGCTTGCCAGACATAATTTTCAAATTCAGGGTTTTATTTCAAGCATAACTTCGTTATATTCAAAATTTGTTTTAACCAATTTGAAACTGAAAGCCCCACTAGCTAGCTACATTTTTCACAGCAACCTTTGTTGCTTGGGCTCCAGGAGGAGCAGACAAAAGGAACATTTCCTCAGGAAGAAGCTGCCATATGGCACCAGTGCCAATCACCGAGCAGACTGCACCTGCCTCCAATACCCACTGAGCTTTGGCTACCCTCAAAGCAAACAGGCAATGGGAGCAAAATCTGAGCAGTCCTCAGAATCTTGTTATAGATCTTTTGGAAATGGAAGTAGATATTGTGTGTTGAATTAATTCATAGTTAAAAAGGAGAAGAAAAAAAAAAAAAATCCAGCCCTGGAAGTTTAAGTAATCTGAGAGAAATGTCTTGGCAATTGGTGAACTTTAATTTCTTAAAAAATAAAAAAATAAGGATAAAGAACAAATAAGTGCCCCAAAAATGCAGGCAACAGCTACAGTTCTGTAGCTGCAACATTAATATATAAACACTGTCAAAAAGTCATAATGCCTGTAAAACCTCACCAAATTTCAGTTCAGCTCAGCACCAATCCCCCTCCTCTCCCCACCAGCCCCAGCAAGCAAATCCCCACATTTCTGCTTCTGCCATGAATCCAGCGCAAATCCAAATACCTAATCCTGGAGTGAGATGGCTGGGATGGTGCTTGGTCTCTTCAGCCATTATTCAGCAGGATAATGTTTTTCTGTAGTTTTGGAAATAATGGCTTGGCCCTGGGGAAGGCAGCTGCTCCAGTCCATCCCGTGGCTGGTGTTGGCACACACTGTGCCAGCCAGGGTCATGGTGCAAAGTGAAGTGGCCTCATTAGCATCTCTTGACTGAAAAAGGATAAAACTTAAAATGAATCCATCTGTTTTCTGTGCTGCTTTGTTTACACTTTCTAATGCTGGGTTTTGGCAGGCCCAGGCACTATTTATTCGTCACTGTTGTCACTTATCCATTCATCTAGCCACAGAATTTTGAATAGGAGTGTTCGCTTACTCAGGCAAATTTTTCTCTCGGTATTTGTTTGTCTTTTTGGATACAAGTGCCAAATATTTATTTGAAAGTGAAATCCTGAACAGCAGTCATGTGAAAGCAAAGAGACTGGGAGGAAAAGGGAATAAAGGTATGTTTGATAGCACTCAAACTGTAGTTCCTGTCAACAGATCCCACTTTTATTCTGTATAATGAGCTTTCTTCACTAGGAACCTCTGCCTTATGCTGAGAAAAAGCAAAGCATCCTTGCACTTGTTTGAAATTTTCGTGTTTGGCAGTGGCTTTTATTCTTAGAAATAAGAACCATAATCAACCATAGCCAATAAGATCAGTAAGAATCATAACCATAATCGTGGAATGGTCTGACTTGAAAGGGTTCATCAGGTTCCAGTCCCCTGCCATGGGGACCTTCCACCAGACCAGGTTGCTCAGAACCCCATCCAACCTGGCCTTGGACACCTCCAGAGATAGGAAAATGCAAACCTGCCCTATGAACTGAAGAAAGGAATCCCTTTAAGATCAAAAACATGGAAGGAGAGAACTGAAAGGATAATGGATGCTCATTAAAGAGTGGGGAGCACCTGCTGAAAAAAAGATTGCCAGAGGTTACAGAGAAATTATTGTACCCCCTCAGTGCCTCTGCAACTTCTCAGTTAGGGGACACAGCTCCAGCCATGGTCATCACAATCAGTGAAAACATGGCTTCATTTTCTGGTTAAAAGGGTCTAAAAATATATTGGGATTGCTGAAATTATGTTTTTTAATAACTGTAGCCCAAATCTTCACCAGAGCTGTGGTCCATGGTTCTTTAATTTCCTCACCATTAACTTCCCTTAAAACTGGATCTCTGCTCACTGCAGAAAATTTAGTTAGGCAAGAATCACTCAGAGGGGAATATGATTAGTAATAATTTATATCATGCTCAGCAGAAGAAATATGGTATGTACGACTGTTTATATCATTGTGGATTGGGAGATTTGGGCTGACCAGAAAGATCACTCCTTATTTTTAAATAAGTTTTAATTTATGTAACCTTGACTCAAATTAGAGATGATTTCAATGCATTTGTAACACTACTTAGCACTGATGAGGTTGCACAGATACAGAAATGGAGTTGTTTATTCTGCCTTACTAAATAGTTGTGGCTAGACCTTCTAGTACCTAATCAAGACATAATGAATGCATTCATGTTTGCAAAATCACAAGTGGAAGTTACTGCACAAAAGAGGCACTGTGAATAGAAATCAAGTTTAAAGTAACAGGATAAGGGTTAGAACAACTTAATTAAAAAAAAAAAAAAAACAACAAAATAGCATATTGATAATTTTTCACTTGCAGAAGGATGCAGATAGCCATTATGTGAAAAAAGGGGAAAATGCTTTCTGTGCCTTGGGTGCAGACATTTGTTTCTGACACAGATGGAGGGAAACTTCACCTTTAAAATTATATATTTAGATAACCTCGTAAAGAAGCACTGGCCCCTCCTTCTTGCCAATAGAAGCATCATTTTGACTGTACACAAACAAAACTGGAAGGTCATTGGTTCAGACAGACAAGCCAAGCAGGACCTGCTTGCCAATATATACCCTATTTATTGTGAAGGAAAGGAGTAGTACACTGCAGTTATACTACATTTCTCCATCCTGATATGCCCTCACCTCCATTCTCCCATGTACCTTTTGCACTGTCAGATCATGTTTTAGCATAGCTCCTAAAGAATAAAATCACAGACATGTCTGTGTAAGCCAATTTTCAAATGGACCAGGATAAAACGTTTGAGGAGTTGTGTCAGAAAAGCAGTCTTCAGATCATGCTGGGTTTCTACCTGTGCTTCAAGCCTCAGGATGCCCTGCTGACTCTCCATGTTCACTGGAAGCCAAACTCAAAGCTCAAGTTTGAACTCTGGAGCAGGGCTCCTTTCTAGGTCTAGCCAGGATGTTTTACTTGGGCCATGTACTTTGAGAGGACACAGCCCAACAACTGCCACACCCTACCTTGTGGAATGTAAATAATCAGTCCACACACGAGATAGTTGCACATCCATTGTTTCTGGACAAGGGTCCCTGGAAGTAATGCCCTCAAAGTGCCACCTGAACCCCCCAAAGTAATTTATCCATTAACCCTTTATGAAAATAATTTGTTAAAAAAATTCTCCATCCTGTTGTCTTTTCCATCCTTTGCCAACACTGAAATGATCTCATCCTTAAAGGCAGGAAAACTTTGCAGGTTGTGCAGTTACTCTAAGCACAAATTTTGGAATTTTAATCTCTGTGACCTATTCCAGCATCACTGATATCCATTTTTTCCCATCTGATTTGATCTCTAGCCTAAGCGCCAGTGACATTTTCCTTTTTCACACGAGTTCAGCCAGTTCTAGCTGCTCTCCAGATTATTTTCTTGATGGGTGTGTTGTGACCCTGTTTGATGTGGTGCTGCAGCTTTATCTGCTGAGATAAATCTTCCTCACTGAACTCATGTGGGGAGTCCCACTTTGAACTAATTGTCTGTGCAAAGTAAGCGTGATACAATGCACATAATCCAAAGGTACTTAACGTGCAGTAAACTGCCCTACTTTTGCTAGAATTGTCCTACTTTTTAGTAAGCAATTTTGCTTTTCTCCTCTGTAAAAAACTGGCTAAATATCCTACTTTTTGCCATTACACTTTCCTTTGGGAAAAATAAGTGAGATAAAGCATACAGGGAATGCACAAAACATTTTTCCAGGTTTCTCCTGTATCCCTTTTTTTTTTTTTTTTATGTTCTATCAGCATTCATCTCAGCACTAGAAAACACAGCATCAAGAGCAGGCCTTGCTTCAGTCATGCCTTGTATTTAAACAAATTGATCGAAGCACTTTATAGGACTTTACTAAGCCAAATGAAGTTCAGCAGAAGTATTAAAATTATGTTGTCACTGCAGCAAAAAAGGTTAAAGGATTTTCTTGTGGTCCTGCTGGTCAGTCATAGAAACAAGAAGCACTGATGAAAATTATTATGCTGTTCCCTTTTTTTACTGCCTCTATTTCATTGGGGGTTTTGGTGCTATAAGAGCTAATGACACAGTGCAATGCTTACTATGATCTCTATTGGGGTTTTGTATTTAAATTTTAAGGGGAGATTTTTAACTAATACAGAAAAAAAAAATCAGGCCATACATAGGAAAAAATTATTCGTTAATACCAGTTAACCATATAGTTGAACCACCAGAAGTGCTTTTCTCTTCCAAAGTATGCACATATCTAGAGCAAATTGTATAAATTACTCAAATTACTAGTAGTTGTATTGAAAGCAAGGTGTTTATAAAGTCAGCCTGACCACAGCACAAGGGCTCTAACTTCTCCCTGCACTCCACTTCTATTACTTTAATTCCAGATTCCTAAAGTTTAGATTTGGTTCCAATAACAACCTTATTTTTAAACACACCCTCAAAGTGGATTTTAACGTCTCTCAACCATGGCTTTACTTTCAAAATGACCAGAAAATATGGCCCTAAATGACCCTCCAGCTGGGCAAGACAGACCTTTTGCCATTCCTTCCAGCTGAACACATCCACTTTCCTCCTTCACATTGCCTCACCTCATGGTCCTCCCTCGGGTTTTATTTCCACTTCTGCCCAGGAGAACGTTCTGAATGTCTGAGCTACACCTTCTAAGCAGGCAGAGACAAAACCTTTGTATTGAATCTGAAACAATGTGTGTGTAAAATCAACACAAAATATTTGCCCGGTGAGTGTTTTTCCTGAAATTGTTTTAAAGGCGATCTGCTGAATTTAAAGGGTTTGAATGAACCGAAGAGCCAATCTTCTCTTTCTTGGTTGTGGTGTGAAAGAAAATTCCTTGTCTCTTCTCATCTCTATCTGGACCATCAAATTTTCATTGTTACCCTTTCAGTCTGAATTATTAGATTGGTCTCTTGGCTGACTGTTATGGAGAAAAGGAGAACATATCTGTCAAGACACAAACACTGATGTAGAAAACTCTAAAGGCACATATTTGAGCGTGAAAAACTAAGATCTTAATTGCCCCTTTCTGAAGCAATGACCTCTCTCCCCATAAAAATTAAACTAGTGCCTCTTCACATGACTAACATTGCTACAAAAGGGGAAGAAGTACTCTGGTATATTATAGCATGATGCAGATAAACAAAATGAACAATGCCAAATTCTGAACCTAACCTCTGCCAAAACCACACCACCATGCTCATAATTGTCTCTAATACGTATAGTGCATTTATGATGACAAAGGAAGGTAGTGAAATGTTCAATAAATAAAGCAACAAAAACTCATGAGAGTTTGGAAAAATCCAGCTGGGAGGATGTCCCCTTTATCATTTCTTTGCATATAAATTTACCACATGCCAAACTTAAATTTTTCCCCCAAATTTACTAAGTTGATTCCAATGTTTGAGAAAGGTGCCAGATTAACATGTATCGTTGTTAAAGACAGTTCATTTATAAGAAATGAACACTACCCAGGGACAGAGATTTCCTGTCCCAGATCAGCACTGTATTACAACTGTGGCTAAGAAGGATCTCTTAAAGAGACAAATGTCTGAATACTTTTCAATGCTGTTCTTGCAGAGACTTTAATTAAGAACTTTAATTAGTCTATTTTCTCACTGCCTTCTTTGTGAGAAACTCTGCTTATTACAGAATTCTTGATACCTGGGCATATTTATAACAAAAGAAGTTTAGCAAACCTCTTTCACAAAGATCCAGAGACCTTGTGGGAAAACTAAAGTCCAGCCCCAAAAGAACTGGGCTGGATGTGAACCACTGCTCTGTATCATTCAATCAGAGAATTGTAAGAATCATTTGGGTTGGAAAAGACCTCCAGAATCATCAAGTTCACCATAAAACCTTGTTCCCAGGTGCCAAA